TGGTCTTTTCCAGGCCCGATCATCTCGCATTGTGCAACCAAGATATATTGTCGCAGAACCAGAGAATTTCTTGTTCCAGGTATTTAAATATATTTTACGTATTTCCCAGTAGTAACCAGAACCAGATTCGAGTAACACAATAAGTGCATGAGCAAGTTGACGAAAATTACTTTCAATTATTTTTAAATCTTTGTTATTATTTAAGTCAAGTGGAGTTAAAAAAAAAGCAATAAGAAGATCATCTTCCATTTCAATTTCATATGTAAAATTAGTAGTTTCATTTAATACTTCTGCTTCTTCGAACAATTTTTTTGTAATTTCACACACTTCATCCAGATCATATCGTAATACTTTTGAGTCATTATTATCCGAATCATCATCCAGATCGACATTTGAATTGTCATCTTCATCCTCAACATTATTAAGATGTTCGGAAAATGGGTCTAAACTTTCTGAAATTTCATCTAGATCAGTAATATTTTTATCTCGAGGTATTTCTGTAGTTGACTTTTTTATTCGTTTATTTTTTTTTTTGAAAGAACATTGATTGCATGTAGCACACAATTGTTGCAAGCCACTTCTAGTAGAACGACAAAACTCAACTACATTTTTCGTCTTATTGCAGCTAGTACAATATCCAAGATTTTGGGCAGGAACTTCTACTAGAAAAAAAATTTATTTGATTTTTTCATGTTAGTAAAAAATAAATCAATACTAATTAATTTTATTTTATATTTTTACTCAATTTATACCTTGAATAATTTCGTTATCGCTCATTTTACGGGTTTAATAAATTGCTAAAAGATCTGAAGAGATATGAATGTAATGTATTTGACGAATATAAGGTCTGTTAGTGTTATAATTTAAGTAATATTTTTTTCATAATATAGGCTGTATATTTTTTATTTATTTAATTAAGAGAAAAGGATATTTTTGTTCTTATCAACCTAACAGGCAAAACATCATTCTTATTTATATCAAAAAAATCGTATTCAGTAAAGCTCCATAAGTGCATGCTCTTGGGGTCGAACTTTAACTACATACACTTAGAGAAAAGTGCATTTATGGAAGTCATGTATATATTTGGGCCCGAATTTAAGCGTTTATTTAGAGAATGTGTGCATTTATAGAGAGTGCACTTACAGAGGCTTCGCTGTATATGCTATAATAAAATGAAAAATTTTGAAAATAAAGCTTAGATATCTGCGGAAGGTTAGTAAATTATTCATATTCTGCATTCAAAATAAAAAAATGCTAAACCAACAATTTTAACCACTTATAATCTTTTGTTCATTTAGACGAATTTTGAAAATAACTCTTATACAATTGAAAGAAATCATTGATTTAATTCTGCATTTAAGAAAAGAAAAAAAATTACTAAACTAACTACTCTATCACTTCAACCAATACTAATTATTCGTTTGCTTGTACCAACTTTGGAATTTCTAAGAGATTTGCAAATTATTCAATTTTTTTGATTTTAAGAAAAAAAACACTATGCTAACGATTTTTTTGCTCTATTGTTTAAGTATAAACAAATCGAAGGCGTTTAATTTACTATTATGACAAAAAAAAAAGTTAATTTAACAACTCTTATTTCTTTAATTGGGAACATGTTTATATTATCATATTTTTTTTTACACATCTTATGCAGACTAAAATATGTACATTTGCTTTTTGCTTTTATTAGGTGCATTACGATTCTTAATTTTTTAATATGTATAAAATCGTTAATACTATTTTTAGTATTTAGTAATTAGATCTATTAAAAGCATAGGCGGCATTATTTATATACGTATAATTGGGACTAATTATCAGGTATTTAATTTAATTAATTATGCAGTTATTTTACATACTATTTATTTTTAGTAATTATTAATTGTATCTTTCTTTTTTTAGTTAATCTATAATTTTTGCAGGGTATATTTTCGTGAAATCTTCTGTAACTAGAGTTAGAAAAAAATGAAAAACATTGTATTGTACCAACTTAATTCCTACTTAGAAGATTTCGTCCCAAGATTCAAGACTTTCGAATAATGTTCAAGACATAGGTATAGAATAAATTGGAATGGTAATATGGAAATAAGAATGAAATAAGATGAATTCACCATGAACTAGAGTTTAGATAAAAAAATAAGTTGATATTTGTAATGGTTTATGCTAAGAAACTTTTAATTTAAAATAATAATAAACCGGTATGATATAATTTTCAAACAGGTAAGAATTTGTATCTAATTACTCGAGAATAGTTCTCTTCAGCCAATACTGCTTACTTTCTATATGTTAATTAGACTCGAATCGAATCTTGGACTTTATTCATTCAAAAAGGTAAATTTTTATATATTATGAGAAGTAGAGCGTTATCACTTAAAATTACACATACTTTGCTATCTCTATCGGCATTTATACACATATCACTCTTATTTATACTGTTTACTTAGAATCATATAGGATTCGTTCTAATTCGGACATAATTAACAATTCGGGTTTGGAATTTTAATATAGATCATATGCAATTCTGTTCAATACTAAGTTTTGACATGTATTTGTTAATGAATTAATTATAATAAAAGAATTCATTTACAAATTAGAACAATTTATCAATATATCTAAAACGAATTGTATATCTCATTTGTCACTTTTAATTCGTTTTCATGAAACAATTGATAAATTTTAGATTTATAAGAACGGCCATTACATCAACTTTAAGTTTATTTAATAGCATTTTACGTAATTAACAGTGAAAAAAATTCGATGCGCGCATGTGTATTCTACACATAATTTTTTTACACACAAAAAAATATATATATATAATTGTACGCAAAATGCATATAACTTTTTCTTTAAATAATGCACGCATATAGTTAATATATGCGGCATGCGAACAATAAATTTAATTTTGGATCTGAAATTTTTTTTTTCTTTTTGATTCTGAATTTTTTTTTTTTTTGATAATTAAATAAAAGTTATTTGAGTTAGATTATCTAAAATTAAAATAGCAAAAATAAGTAAAATTATCTTATTAGTAAGCTTTAATATTCATTTTTTCCTACAGTCAAAACTCGATATAGCGAAGTCCAAATTCTGATCCGATGCCTTCGCTATATGGAGATATTTGGTTATCAGAAGGCAAATGCATATGTCAAACATATTTATGATACTAAAAAGTCTTCGCTATTTCAAAATATTTGTTATGCAAAAAATTCGTTATCTCGAACTTCAACTGTATACGTATATTAACTTTGTCTAAATTCACAATTTGATTGGGTAATTTGAATGATCGTCAGCACGTGATCGGACATTTTTCGCCATGGCTAGGGTACTT